GTAATAGCCACTCATGGTGCATTCTCCCCTCCCCCAGGGCTAGGGTTCGAATCTAGCCTCTTGTAAAATCTGTTAAAAAAAAAAAGTATTTTATAATTATATTGTATAATCATAATTATTAAATAAAAATAAATTTTTTGATATTGAAAGTTTGACTTCCTTCAAATAACTTTTATTTTATAATTTATATTGTATAATCATAATTATTAAATAAAAATAAATTTTTTGATATTAAGAACTCTATCTCTCATTTAATAATTTCTATTTTACAATTCAATACAATTTATATTGTAAAATAAGACACTCATTTTAAAATATAAGTCATTTGATTTTTTCATATTTAAGTTTAAATAATATTTTTTGTAATATATGAATGATAATTGAAATTTTTTTATACCTAATTCTTGTTAAGTAGTTTCATTTGATTGAAAAAAATTTTCAATAATCATTTATATACTATAAAAAAACGTTTCCTTAAAATATATGAAAAAATTAATGCCTATATTTTAAAAAAGAGGGAGTAATAATTAATATGAGAATTAATGAGAAGCATTTTATATGCTTTAATATATTGTTTTAGCCCTAATTTTGTTGCTATTTGGATGGATAACTTGTGATTTTCAATGAATTTTACATAATTTTCATTTTTTGTGCCAAAAAAAAAACTTGAATGCATAGTAATATAAGTTTTTAACTTAATTGAATATGTTTTAAAAATTGAGGGACTAAATTGCAAGCAAGAAGGTTATGAACCTAAAGGAATGATTTAGAAGTTATGGAGTCAAAGTGCTCACCGCATGGAAGCTTTATATTTTTATTATTTACATTAACTTATCATAAAAAAATTATATTAGCTTTATAATAAAGTTTTTTAATTATATTTAAAAATAATATAACGTTTTTCTTTGTTAAAAATAAAAATTAGTGTGTGATTCATATTTTTATATTTTATTATATTTTATTTATTTTCTTATTATTATTTTTTATTTTTGATTTATGAAAAATTTAACTAAAATCAAATCAAAATTTATTTGGTTGATATTAAAACCAAAATAATAAATTTTAAAAAC